AAACCTTGAAAGCTCGCGAGATCAGGATGGTCTCACGAGGCTAATAGTTATAAAAGTGAGCCGTCCTTTAATTAGAAAACCAAAGCATCCAAGAGAAACAAATCAAAGCTCCAGCTTAAAAACGCATTTCCTTTTTCAATCTTCAATATAGGGAGGAATAAAAAACAAAGGAAAATTCAAGCACAACTATTATGTAAATCATAATTCATTCTCTGCCCCTTTTCTTCTCTAAACACTGAATTATGAGTTCTGTGTTCCTCTAATTTGCTATTAAAAATAGTTCACAAACTCTCCTCTGAACAGTAAAACATCACATTTCTGCATGTCTGAACATGAATCCCATCTTGACGCCATCTTTAGCTGCTTACTGCAGATCAAAGATCATTAGTTCATGTTTAAATTGTCTTTTTTTCAGGTTTATTTCTCCATGGAGCTTTGGTTTTAGTTTAGCTGTTTTCATTGTTTTTGCTTTTACTGTGAGGTGAAAAATTCTCAAACTGAGCTAAACGATCATTGCGCATTACTATATCAATTCTGAAATGATACACCGCCCCCCAACAGTCAAAAATGCAGAGCTACACTCACCCAGTGTCTCCACTCCGTCTTTCTTTTTGCTGCTCGCCTTACTGCTGGACTCACAGCTGATGTGGTAAAAGGTGAAGAGAATGTGGTGTTTCTCATGCACATGGACGGGCAGCTCAATTTTAACCTGCATACAGAAGAATAGCATTGTTTCAGGTTTAATTACACACCAAATGAGGAATCAGACCCTTGTATCCAAAGAACATTTCTTTTCTTAACTTCTGATGCTTTCAACTACAAAGCTGACCTCAGCATTAAACAAAACTTTATTTTGAACCACCTGAGAACCTTCCAGTGCAAAGGATCTTATATTTTTGAAAGAACACTTTTTTTTATTTCAATTCTTGCCTGCAAATGAGGGCTCGGGTTAAATAAATTAACTGGATTTAGACTTAATGATTCATGATTCATTCATTTGATTTGCTTCAAAGAAAAGCTCCAGTAGGACCTGGTACTCCAAAAGGGATGATTTAATCAGCCTTACTCTATATTTCTATAGAGCCACCATTTGGCTTTCTATAATAGTGTAACAGTGAAATATGTCCATTCTGGCCTTAAACAGACTGGGAGAGCAGAGATGGGTAGTGACTAGTTACTGGAGTAATTTCAAAAATATATTGTGCTTTTAGGAGTCGTGTTTCTTTGCTGTTACTTTACTTTTTATTTTTACTTAAGTTAATATTGTTGTGAGGGTACTGCTACTTTTACTAAGTAAAAGGTCTGGCTACTAGACCCACCATAAGTAAATGAAGGTATTTGGAGATCAGATTAGTGTCCAGTC